GGAACCGGTCTGTATGTGGGATCCGAACCCTCGGCGGGAGCGCCTCTGTGCTCCCAAGCGGTGCACGGTAGCAGTGCACCACCGGGCCGGCCCCTAAAAGTAATTCTTAACAAAATTTGCCCAAATTTGTTAAAATTCTGGTTAAAATGTAAGCAAGGAGCCTAAATATCCATTCATTCAAATTGGATGGATCAAGATGGCAGAGTCAAATGTCAAAGGACATGTCTGGTTCTCAGGCTCCTCAGGTGACACAGCAGTTGGTATTGTCCTGGAGTGCATGTTCCTCTGTTCTCAGTGCCCCATGATGGCAGGTGAACGTGGAGACATTGCCTTTAGCTATATCAGCTAAACTAAAATCATAGGTAAATATATAAAACAGACAAACGGACATTTCAGGCAGTGGAGAAAAGCTGCTATCTTAAATCAAGAATGTCAAACTCATTCATTCATTCAGCAGACACTTCCTGAGCACCTGTTAACATACAAAATTAGACATGCTTTTGCCTTGGAGAGCTACAGGCTAATCTAATAATCATACAAATACAATATTGCAAACCATGACTTGCACTACCCGGAAGTAAAAGTATTGACAGTAATGGCCTAAGCTGCCAGACTTTCTACCATAACTGGAAAGTGCTGATTTTTTTTTTTGAGTGTNTGGCCTAAGCTGCCAGACTTTCTACCATAACTGGAAAGTGCTGATTTTTTTTTTTGAGTGTGACACAAAAATACGTCTGATTTTAAGTGATTCTGATCACTTTAGACTGTAATGGAATGCTTATGAGACTTTGGAGCCAGAATGTCTGTTTAAATCCTATCTCTGACACTTACTACCTAGTGCCTCAGTTTCCCCATCTGTAAGATGGAGATAATGATAGTATCTGCTTGTGAGGTTGATTAAATACGTTAATGAGTGTTAAGTATTTAGAACACTACCCATTACCTAGTAAGTAATGTGTTACTAGTATAAGGTAAGGTCCAAGTTATATTACAGCTATTAATAGTTCATTTAGTGAATGGAAAATTGGGATTTTTATCTCAACTACAAAAACACTGATACCTTTCCCTTAATCAAATATATGTTTACTTGAAGTAGGAAGCAAAGCATACATCAGAAGCAGGAAAAAAAGGAGGTGTAGAGAGCACAGTTACTTGCAGGAGCTATGGGGCCATTTGAACAGGGGCTGGGACTGCTCATGAGGAAAGAGTAGATCCTAAACTTAGGGGGGCATAGAGACCAAGCCCTCCAAGGTGAATGGGTCAGGGTGGGAACCATAGCCTGAGTGGAGAGGAGACTGCTCTGCTGGACTGTTTGCTTATCTGTATGCACACTCCCTTCAGTTTGCTGTTGCAGCAATGACAACTGCTTCAAATCATAAGATGTGATTTAGAGCCATGTGATATGGCATAGTCGCAGAAAGTGGTGTCATTTTCTCCATTTTCTCCGTCTCTGTCTGTCTTTCTGCTTCTTTCATACACACATGTGCACGTGTGCACACACATGCACACACGAGTTTCAGATTCATATTCATTATTTATGCTTTTAGAAGAAGTATAAAGATGAAGCAGAGAAGATGCTTTCTAAGTATTCTACTGTGGCAGATACCCCTGAAATTCAGAGAATTAAGACAACTCAACAAAACATTAGTGCAGTAAGTAGCCATTATTTCTTTTCAGTTACCGTCTTGAAACTTTAGGTTCTGAAGGGAATGGCCTTTTACTCTTCATTGATTTTTTTTTTTT